AGGTGGCCCAGTAGGAGGAGTAGGGTTCTAAAAGCCTCTAAAAAGAGTTGGAGATGGCCCCTATCTCCACTGTTAGAAAGACCAAGCTATACAACTATAACATACATGCAGTCCTGAGCAGGCTCCCTGGCTGTCAGTTCAGTCTCTGTGAGGCCCTATGAACCCAGGTTTGTAGTGATATCTTGTTTATACTTTGACAAATAAAGCTTGCCTGACGATTAGAGGGCGGAGCTAGCGACTAGTTAACCATAGAAGTCTGGAGGTCTGTGCATACAGACAGGACATGATATGGCTGGCCAGACAGAGGAAGTGATAAGGCAGGAGGAGGCAGGAGACCAGTTTTCATTTTTCAGTCTGAGAATGTCATAGAGGTAAGAACTCTAGTGACTGGCTGCTCTGCTTCTCTGATCTTTCACGTTTCGCCCCCTAATATCTGACTCTGGGCTTTTATTATTAAGACCTATTGCAACTCATGCTACCAGGAAGATTCTGAGAGTTTTCTTGTGGTGTCCTTGACTGTCCTCTTCTGTAGGATTCCAGGAACTAGGCTTACTGTTTGGTTGTGGGTCTGCATCTGTTTCTATCAGTTGCTGGATGAAGCCTCTTTCATGATAATTGGACTAGGCACCAATCTGATCCCAGGAGATGGCCAGTTCTGGCTACACATTCACTACTTCTAGGAGTGTTAGCTGGGGTCATCCTTGTAGATTCCTTTGAGATTCCCTTGAGCCAGGTTTTTACCTGACCACAGAAACGTCCCACCTTTCTAGGAGCTTCTTTTAGTACGCTCCCTCCATCCCTAGAACCAATTGCTCAGGTTCCCATCCCCACCCACCCTCAGTCCACCCATGAAATCTCTTCTATTTCTCCTTCCCAGGGATATTCGGTCATTCCCCCCATGAACTCCCTTTGTTAACTAGTCTCTCTGGGTCTGTGAATTGTAGCATCTACTTATGAGTAAGTACATACCATGTTTGTCTTCAACAATGTTTAAAACAGACAAAGACAGACTAGAACAAACACAGCAAGTGTGTCAGACCTAAGTGAAATAGATGTTCCTACCTAGTGCACCAGGGGTACCAGACAGACACAAAGGAAAAGACAGAAAAGAAGGAGGGTCTCCACGCTCACCTTCATGAGGACCAAAAACATGAAGCATGCAGGGACCAACTCACCGAACAAGTCCCTGAAGGGGGTGTGCTGAAATGCACCGCAAGGGTGCAATGATGTACCACCCGCAACAACAGGCAAAGATTCAGGCCCAAACAAAAAAAACAGCCATGGCAATGAAAAAAAAAAACCACCCTGATTTAAGCGGGCCGAGACCCGTGCCAGCATGGGATCCATGAGTCTCATGTTTAGGTACCAGATGTTGTAGGTTACTCTGCTCAGGCACCTCTTGGGGGAAGGGGTGAGAATACACAGCACCAACTCAGGCACTGGGCGTCAGTGAGTGGCAGAGCATGGTGCAGACTCTAATAAGAAAGTTAGGCCTGCCTTTATACCCCCTCCCAAGGTCCTATTATACTTTAGTGTAAATGTAATACTAAACTTTTCTTTATCTATTCCTCCACTTAGGGACATCTAGGTTGTTTTCAGGTTTTGGCTATTACAAATAAAGTTGCTATGAACACAGTTGAGCAAGTGTCCTTGTGGTATGATTGAGCATCCTTTGGGTATATGCCCAAGAGTGGTATAGCTGGGTCTTATGGCAGATTAATTTCCAGTTTTCTGAGAAAGCACCCCACTGACTTCTAAGGTGGCTGCTGTACAAGTGTGCACTCCGACCAGCAGTGGAGGGGTGTTCCTCTTGTCCTACCTCCTCTCCAGCATGAGCTGCAGGGCTACTTTAAAGTAAGCCTTTTGATGAGGATCTGGCTTACAGTTTCAGAGGGTAAAGTCCATGACCATCACACCAGGAACCTTGTCAGCAGGCAAGCACACTTGGTACTGAATCAGTAGGTGAGAGCTTACATACTGATTAATAGGCAGGGCCAGGAAAAGAGGTGGACTGGACTGGGCATGGGTTTTTGACACTTCAAAGCCCACCATCATTGACATACGTCTTCCAATTAAGCCACACCTCCTAATGCTTCCTAAACAGTCCACTAACTAAATATATGAGCCTATGGTGGCAATTCTCATTCAAACCTGTACACCCATTATGCCCTGATCCATAGCATCCTGCTTTATCTCACCCAGGATGTCAATTCTCCGCTTGCTCAGTATTATCACACTGTGCCTATTAATCACCTGTTGGCCACTGTGATGCTTAAGATGGCTTGTCAACTTGGTTTGGACCAGGCATCATCTAGTCATATCTATGATGTCACGTCCAGAAAGGATTAACTGAAGATGAATCTTTCTCCTATGGAGTAGACAGCATCTTCCAACTGCAGTCTAGATAGGTATAAAAAGGTCATGCTTGCCTGCCTTCACTTCCAACTAGTGAGTCTGTCTTTGTCCATTCTGCTGTTGCTGCTGCTAGCCTTTGCTACCATCAGAATCCAGCTTTGTTGGCCTTCCAAAGTGAATGTAAGAACAGTGGTACTTCAAGAAAATCCCACTTCTTGAATGCTAGGTTGAAACTACTGAAGTGGATTAATCAGCTAACAGGTTTCCAAGCCTCTGCAGCATACACGTGGCCATCATTTGGCTATCTGGAACCTACCATATGAGCCAGTCTAATAGCTGCTCTTTGTAGTATTTATTCATTCTATTGGTTCTGTTCCACTGGGGAACCCTGACTAATACAGCCCCTTAATATTTATCTTGGAGAGTGAGTCAACTGTTGTTCTCTTTCATTGTTAGTTATTTTTTTGTGAATTACTGTGTTAATTCATAGATTAAACCATATCACAGATATGTATGCACAGTATAGGGTAAAATATCTGCTAGCTTCAGTATTATTGTGGTTTCAGGGGATGAGTGTCGAGAGGATGAAGGGGTTATTGTATTAAGTAGCACGTGGTGGCATATACATTTATGAATGTGACTTTATGAATGGACACCATTCCTGATTTATATCAATTTTATTTTAAAAAGGGCTACTAGCAAGGACTTAATGCACACTACCTGGACCATCTTTGTTTGTGGTGACAAGGATAATTTGCCATTAATTCCATAGATCTTTGAGTTAATTTGATGGCAGTGAATATTGACTCGTTTAAATCATGCAAATATTTTTTCATCTTATTATCTCTGGTCAATATTGCCAATTTACATTGCAAGATGATGGATGAAGGCTAGTAGCTCACCAGTGACACAAAACTGCGTGTGCTCACCCTAGAACCGTAGAAGTCCTGGGATCCTCTACCTCACTTCTCCTGCACTTTTTCTAATGAAAATCAGGTGTTCTGTGAGCACAGCAATTCAATGTATTTATCAGCACTCAATGACCATACTACACTCAAGTCACTCTGAATAGCAAGGAAAACAAGAATGTCAAAATAGTTCCTTTTATGGCAAAACATTATTTTATGTTTTGTATATTCCCCTTTCCTTTTGTTTTCTTCTGCAGTAACAGAGTGTTTTATATATTTATAATCTCATTTAATATATAAAACTTGAATCTTGTTTTGTTTTTGTAATTCCCACTCTATTGACATTTTCACAATTATTCCTTTCTAAATGGCTACTTAACAAACCATTGTGTTGATTGCCATAATTTATAAAACTACTTCTTTTCTGATTTTGAATCTTTTAGATTTTCCTCCCTTTACTTATTTGTCACTGATAAATAATCTCATATTGTTGGGTTTGAGTCATTCATCAAGTCTTGTAGTTTTGCAAATACAAATTTATTGGGTTAAACCTGGTAACTCTTGCCTATAATACTAATATCATGAAAGCTGAGGTAAGATTGTGAATTTGAGGGAAGCTGGCTACATAGCGAGACCCTGTCTCCACAAAGGCTAATAAAAATAAAAAATAAACAAACACACCAATTAAATCAATGTAACACAATCATACACACTGATTTATGCACCATTTATTGTTTTTACACCATACTTGAATAGATGTGACAGAAAGCTTAAAATATTTAGTATCTGGCCCTTTCAAGAAAGCCTCTGCCAACTCTAAATTAGTGTCTTAGTACCTTAATTGATTTCAGCTAATTTCATTAAAACACATTCCCAAGGTTGGCAGTAACTGGCCGAGATGTATGAATATCATAAGATCTTAAAGTATGTTTCCAAATTGTTTTGTAAAGCTGCTGCATTGATTTATAGTGTTACCAACAATATAGAAATCTTATGCTTTCATTCAACTTTATTATAATTGGGCTTTGTCATTTCAAGTTTTTCTTAATTATCATAAATAGCCCATATCATGGGTCTTTTTGTTTTCTCTTTGTAGTACAAAAAATTCCTCTTATATTTACTAGTTGTTTATCTCTTGTAGGAGATGCCTTTTGGCATCACTTCTTTGCCAATCTGTTAGAGTCTCATTGCTTAGCCCAGTAATTTGTGTGAGCTGGAGGATGATTTCCTGATTTACACTAAGAGAACCAGCCATAAGATACATGAGTCCCCGACTTGCTGCATGCAGACACATGTAAATCATGAGAGTATTATGCGATTCATTAAAGAAGATAGGGAAGTCAGGCTTCTAATAATTATGAATGCCACCTTTTAAAGTGGGAATATCTGTGTTAGTGATGTAAATAATACCAGTAGCTCTTTTATGACTCTCTAAATCTGTAAGCTGAACTCCTGCAAGGAAAATATGTCTTCTTTGAGTAATGAAAATATTTGCTTATGTAGTCTTAAATTTCTCATTTGTGTGTGACTCATGGAAACAGACAAGCCATTCTGCTCTGCTCCTAAATAAAAGTACCCCATTACAATCATCTCTTTTCCTGTGAAGAAAGATGTTGACATCCTCCTCTGGTTGCAAAAATTTAAAAACAGTTATGATACAACAATAGCATGGAAATCTGTGACCAAGTGCAGGCTGGGATCCCGGGCTCAAAGAAAGAACAGCCTGGTGAGACAGGAGCCATGAGAGCTTTCTTTACTCATTTATAATACCAAGGAAAGTTACAGGTAGGTCTGGGGGCAACATTTAAGACACTACGTCAGTGCAATTTCTTCTGTGATGCCATGTTCTCTTCCAGCTTTCCACCTATGGCCAAGCCCTGAGTGATCTTGCTCCATGGATGAGAGGACAAGTCTGCCTAGAACAAAGATTTAAGGCAGTTTAACTCACAAAGCTCAATTCTTGGCACCTGAAGCAACATAGACCCTTTGAAGCCAGGGTTTAGTGAGAAGAAAATAAAGCTTCGAAATATCTTTTTTTTGAAACAGCATCTCCCCTTTGCTGCCCCAGGGACTCACTTACTATGTGGCCCAGGTCCTCAAACTTACAGCAATGTTCTGCTGCAACCTTCCCGGTGCTGGCATCTCACAGGTGCTGGGATTCCAGGTCTCAGTTACCACTCCTGGCTTCCAAATTTCTTTTATTCCCAATAATTTAAGAATTTGGTTAATTAATATATGCAAATTATAGTTGGAATTCAGGGTTTGGAGAAGAGCATACAGGAAGGAAGGAAGGAAGGAAGGAAGGCAGGCAGGAAGGCATGCAGACAGGCAGGCTGTTCGGCCTGAGGCATGGATGGAGAAGTTGTAGGGAAACAATGGAGGAAAGTATAGCCGATGCTCATATGTAGAATGCTGTAGAAAAAGTAGTGCCAAGGCAACTGAAGAAATTGTGGGCGAGGCACAGCTTCTAGCTTCATGCCTGCAGAGGAGAATGAAAGGTCTTCACAGTTCCCTCACCCACCTCTGGAGAGGCATAAAGGGACTCTGAGAGAGCTTTCAGAGAGGAACGTGGTCCACATTGTGGGGAGATTTTGGTTTCCAGACTGGAGGAGGAGCTTATCTTTCAAAGCTCCTGTGGCCAATATCTAACATTCTAATTCTTACCCCATTCATCATAAATCTATTGCCTCAGCTCTATCTTTCTGATATGTGACAAGACTTTTGTTGGGGAGATGTAACACACACATCTATTTACCCATGGATGCCCATGCCAGACCAACATACAGATACCACCAAAGTAAGTTGGTTAACCAATGAGTTTTATTGGTGTTACTTACAGGACTGCAGGCGATGAGTTATTTATAGGAGGAGAAATGACTCAAACATAGCTGTATCACCAAAGTCCACCCCTGAATGGGTGACCATTCACAAAAGCTGGGAACCTGGAGCACACTCTACAGTCTGCAGCAGCTCAGGTAGCTCAGATGGTTTGAGCCTCTTCCAAACAGCTCAGCTGGATGAAGTCTCACCTGAGAGGCACTCTCAGCAATCTATTGTTTATTCCTGGGAGGGAGGGGTCTAGTGAATCTGGTCAGTTTTAGGGACTTCCTGAAGCTATTTTGAGTTGTTTAGCTTCTACCTTAATGAGCTTCCATGCAGGATGAAATATTTTTGGAATATCTCAGAGGACACTGGTACACAACAGCTTCTCACATCTTTCCATGTTTATGTGTCTTCTTTTTTTGTACATGTGACTCCATTTTTGTAAGAATGCCTTTCCCATGCTAATATGCTAATCCCTATATATGTGCTTTAAAAAAAAATAGTAGTGCTACGCAGTAGCTGCCCATCCCTCCATTATACACATTATTTAATTAGTGGTAGTAGGAAGCATGAAACCCGAGCTATACTTGCTGGCCTGCTTCTCGCCTTTCCTAATGTATTGTAATCCCTGTGAGGGTGGAGGTTCTTGACTGCTTCCTCAGTACCTAGCAAATGGTACAGAACTAGTGTTTGTTGAATAAATGAATGAATGAAAAAGGCTTAATGCAGATGAGTGCATCTGTGAAGAGACCAGCTCAGTAACATAGAAGACAAACAAACATCCTCTTTTCAATGGCATGGGTAATCAGTGAATTCCTGGAAAGTGGTGTGACTAGAAACAGGTGCTTTTAGCTTACATACATCCTTTTCACCTTGTTTCCTATTAGGTCTGTTTCCTATGAGCAATAACTTCCACCAGTATTCCAGTACATTCCTTTTCTACAGTTAAACACTCCAGTGATTAGCTGTGTTTCCTCTGATAATAGTAAGAAGATACACAATCACCTTATGTGAGCTATAGATGATAAAAAATTAATTTTCATAGACACAGCATTAGTTATTGGGCAATCAATCATGATTACACAAGTGGATCTATTAATATTTGAGAACTAGGATAAAATCTAGGCACGTTGAGGACTCTCCCTTGTGTGTCTGTTGTTTGGGAGAAGTGCTTAGCTGCTCTAGATTATGTCCCCTTTTATCTCTCCTCAGATGTTGGACATACAGCATCACTTCACCCATAAAAGCTGATGCCTTTCCCTGTTGGCTTCTACCCGGGTTGTAATGTAATAGACACTGTTTTCTCCTCTCCCTAGGTTTCCTCTGGATGGTGCCACAGGAAAAAAAAAGGGTCTTTGGGAACTTCTTAGCAGTTTCGGAAGCTTTCTCATTTACTGTCAGGGGAATTATATAGCAGAAGATTCAGTGCCCTCAGAATCTATTTCTTAGCTTTTCTTCTGGGTGGGGATCTCTAGCTGCCTTCTGAGGCTCCAGGAATGGAAGTAAATTATCCCCCATTTTTTCCTGATCAGGTTTGCAAGCTGTTCAACTTTTATGAAAAACAAACAACCCTTGCCCCCACACAAATAACCCACAAGACATTTTTTTTTTGTGCTTGTAAATTGGAAGTTTAGCCCTCAACTGTGGCGAGGCTGTATTTCTCACTTCATGTTGAAAATACATTATTTTTAGGTTGAATCAGTCTGGTTCTCAAACAGCAAGTATTACCTAATATCCAAGACCATGTTGAAATGTTCTAGTTGTCAGGGACTGAGGGTGTTACCCGGAGTTAGAAAGTACAAGCCAAAGCTCTAGCATTTTGTAGTCTTTATAATATAATATATATGTATGTGTATATAATATACATGTAATATATGTATACGCACATTATATACACATATATTCACACTGTTGTTTGATACATATATAGTATCTACATATATGTTCACATTGTTGTAGGATACATGCTACAGAAATAATATATATATTATATTATAATGACCTTTTCTTTCTCAAGAGAGTCTTTTACATTTGATCTGAGCCAAAAGGCTAATTTTTATTTTTATTTTATGTTTATTTTTTCTATCATTGGCTTAAATGATCTTTAGTTTATTATTTTAATGATATGTATTTTTCTTTTAGTATTTGAAGATTTGAATGTCATTAGATGCTTGACTCTTTCCCAGTTGATTTAACTGCCACATTAAATTTATTTGCATTTGTTTCCATTATGGACAGTTTGGGACTTGTTTCTAGTCTCTTGTGGGCTTTCAAAATCTCCTTCATCTTTTATGCTCTTTTAACCAACATTAATTGAGTTTTGTTTGATAATTAAGTTTTTTATTTCTTTCAGTCTAGTGATTATCATTTAATCAAAATTCATTAATTTATTATGTGTAATACATTAATCTCTTTGTAAGACAATACTAAGATTACAAAAAATTTTAATTCAGATCACCCCATGGTAAATTTTGTGCCAGCTTATTATAATTTTACCAGTTTACAAATTTGGATCAGTTTTATAGAAACAATATTTATTTACATAATTTGAGGTCTTTGCTTCCATTTATGTCTTTAACCACTGAATCTTTGATTCATTTTTATGATTTTTTTAAACTTTCTTTAGATTATTGTCGTATTTTTCACACAAATCCATGGTATTTTCTCCTTAGAAATGTGAAAATATTGCATTGCTGTTGATTGCTTTCCAGAACTTGGAGATAAGACTCCATTCCTGAAACACTAGGCACTTCACTCACAGGGCTTGGAAAAACCAAGCTGTTACTGATCTGAAAGCCTCCTCCCTGGGACCTAGCTCTCATTGTGTCATAAAGTGCTATGTAAGCTGCCAGGGGAGAAAAGTTATTAGTTCCACCCATTTGTAAGTCTTTTGAAATATGGTAATGAATGTCCTGGCAAGATGCGCCCAATGCCACAATGGCACTAATATATTAGATTTAACCAACAGCTAGCTGTCTGGTAGACTTAAAATCCAGTCAACAGAAGAAAACACATGCCTAGTACTGTAAACCTAGCCAAGAAGTCATGGATAGAGAGGAAATAGACCCTAAAGGAAAACATATTATTACAATTTTGTTAAATTGATATAGTATGTAATTTCCTCCTAAATACTTATCCTTACCCATAGACAAAAGCTGTTCTCACTTATCATAAAATAAACTTTTTGCCACAAAGAAAAACAATTACACAGAATCACAGCTGGTCAAAGTATTTAGAACAAGTGACTGCAATGAATTTTTTTTTCTGTCCTATCAGTCAGCTCCCAAATAATGACATAGAGACTTCTCATTAATTAAGAAAGCTTGGCCTATAGCTTAGGCTTGTTAATAATGAATTCTTATAACTTAAATCAATCCACTTATATTAATTTTTGTTTCTGTCATGTGGCATTACCTCTCTTCCATCTTGTATCTCTTCCTTCCCCTCCATGTCTCCTGGCTTCTTCTGCCTCCTCTTCCTTTCTTTCCCTGCATTTAAATCCACCTATACCTCCTGTTCAGCTCTTTATTAAACCAATCACAACAATATATCTTCCCACCATGTACAACAACAAGCAGCTGTGGAGTGCTCAACCCCAAATGGGACATCTATCATCTAGTCCCCTTACTCAAACTTCAGGAAACACTGTGGAAGAAAGCGCAAAAAATTGTAAGAGCCAGAGGACCAGAAGGACCAGAAGGACTGCTTTGAGACAGCGTCTTCTCTATGTGTTAGGGATTTTATAGTCTTGAGATCTCAACAACATGATTTCCTATACACGTTTTACATCAGACCACACCAATCAACATTCTAACATGGCCAGAGGAAAGGTTCACAAGGTCCCCGTGTCTAGCAAGAGCCACATTCAATCAATGGCTGCTGAGGGAGGAAGAATCGGCTTTCCTTAGGGATAAAGCCCATCACTGATCACCCAAGCCTAAGTGGACAGCCCTAAGACCATGTGTATGCAAGCAGCACTAATCTGACTCAGTAGATTTTGTGTGTGTGTGCGCATGTGTGTGTGTGTGTGTGCCAGTATGTACATATGCATATAAAATTATGAAAGAAGATATGGCCCTCAGAGTTTTGTGATAGAAGTGATGGTGGTAGGAGCACAGGAGAAATTGAGGTGGTGTAAATAAAATAAATACAATGTATTCATGTCTGAAATTCTAAAACAATGATCTGTGAATAAGACAAATCTAAAAATACCATGTGTTGTTTCAAACAATATGGTTATTAATATAAAACTCAAATATAGTAAGGTACACATTGAAGATATTCAGCCAAATAAATTTCACGTGTGCAAATAGATATACTTACACAAATAAAGAAATGCAGACTCCTACATCAAAGTATAAAAATGTCAAACACCTTTTCAGACTTCTGTTTTCTCCCATTGTTTTCTTCCACAAAGTACTATTTGGGTGTCTATTTGTATAAATTAGTTTATCACCTTCATAGTAATGAAATTGTTACCTATGCACAGTACTTTTTGGACAGTAGTGTTTCACTGTCTGTGACTTTGGTTAACTGTAGTCAACTGTGTCTCATAATATAAAACAGTAAATGTAACACTTTGTGAAGGAAGGAGAGAGGAACTGTGAGAGAGACTCACCCATCATAGCTTTTACTGAAATACATAATTTTTCTTAATTATTGTTGAAAATCTCTTATTGTCCTTAATTTATAATTTTATGTTTGTCACAGTTGTATATACACAGGAGAAAGCAGAATGTTTGGTATTATTCCTATTTCTAACATCTGTGGAATGTCCTGGAACGTACCCCTGAGGATGAGGGAAGACTACTACAGCCTCCTTTGTTCAACTTTTGTAAGGTTCATTCTTGCTGTGGCATGTGGTTGTAGCTCAGTCTGTTTCCATTGTTCTACAGTGTTGCATTGTATGATCATCCATAATTTACTTCTATGTCGTTTATGAATTTGGGATGGCTCATAGTTTGCAGGCTTTATGAATAAATCTGCTAAGAACTTCTTTGTGTATTTCTTGTAGAGAACATAAGCCTTGTATGCTGTGGGGTATATTGGTAGGCGTGAAATTACTGGTTCACAGGAGGCATATATACATGTTTAGCTGTAGTAGATGCAGCCAAACAGCATTCCAAATTTGCTACAGGAATTTACATTTGTAGATGCAATAAACAAGAGTTTAAATTGTGTTCTCACTCTTGCCAACAC